AATCTTACAATTTAGAAAAAAAAAGTATCAAAAATGATACAATTGTATCAAAATGGCACCGCTGACTGTTTCACTTTCCACTTTTGGTTTCCATGTATTTACTATGGGCGGAATAGAAATTTTCGGGTGACATTTTTTCGGGTGAAACACAGGATAAGGCAGAATGTGAATGGAAATAGTGAAAAAATGGTTTTACGTCAAGCGGAATAGGGAGTAGACTTTTAATTTAAAAAAGAAATCGATCCAAACGGAACAAAGTCCGGACGCTGCTATTGTCTATGGACGATAAGAAATAGTGTCCATGGACGTTATTCCGCTGACCTTATTACACGTCACAATAAAGCTGCATGATTTTTAACATTTCTGAAATGGTTTCACTTTTCAATTGTGTATTATTTAGGGCTTACGATTTCTGCTCGCACGCTCTCGAGGATTTCGATACCCGGTAAATCTAGTAATCGAGTTCTCGACACAATCTCGAGTATCGCCATTCTCACGAGGAACATGCACATGGTAATATTCTGATGAGCGACGAGCATTGCGCTTGAAATAAATTCAACAGTTCATACCCTAAATTAAATACGCTGCCTTAATTAGATCATCGAGAAGCTCGCGAGTTTTTCGATACACGAGAATCTCGTGAGAAAGCGATCTTCACGAGAACTTGCTTGTCGAACAACCTCGGGATATAGAAGGCTCTAGTATTAATGTTAATGACACTATTTCCACAATTTTTCTGACATTATTTCACTCTTGGTCTGGGTATTGATGTCATTGACATTAATTCCCTTACAAAAGTGAATTTATGTCAATTGACATTAATTCCATTGATATTATTGCAAGTTACCTTTCGCTGGTGATCGTTTTGGCCTTTTCAAAGTAATCGATATGAATGATACTCATTCGAAATGCGGCTGCACATCGCAAAACACTCCTTTGAAGTTTTTACATGGTTGCGTTTATGGTAGGAGAGTGAGCAAGCACAGTACCTATCGCGCGAATAGCTTCTTCATATCCAAATATTCATGTAAAATGTAATGTAACCATTCAGTTGTGATGCGTATAGCATCAGCCACCCCACACACTTTCATCTCCGGTCTTCTAATATTATTCCTTGGATTTTATCGACGATTTCTGCCGTGACGAGCTCTTTTGGGCGGCCTGGAAGTTCGGAGCCTTTTGGGCTGGTACGACCACAACGAAACTCAGTAAACCACTTTTTTAACCTTTGAAATTGATGGCACAGAATCCGCATACTATTTATCAAGCCTTTATTTGGTTCAAGTAATGGCTTTTTTACGCAAAACTGAATACTTAATCAGCACACGAAATTCACTTTTCACAAGGTTGTTTGTTTTCAATGGCTGTCAAACACCACTAAAGTTACTGCGCGGGAAATTCAAAAAGTCGCTAACTTTTCAAATTGGTCTCGAATAAACATTACGGTCAGCGGCCTAGCCAGGATTTGGCGAAGGGGAGGGGATGAAAAAAAATTTGCATCGATAACTTAGTTGTGATACACAATGGCTAGAGGCGTCGCCTGTGGGCATTCTTTCATATACGTATGTATGTGCCATTTTTACCGTTATATATTTTTTGTGTACTCGGTTATTTCGTGGGGAATTCATGCTTTATTTAAATTTAAAAAATTCGTTAGTATACAGTTCAGTTTTTACACATTGAATATCTAATCTAATAAATATTATAAATGTGAAAGTTTGTATGTTTGGATGTTTGGGAAATCATCACGCGGAAACGACTGCACGGATTTGCATGAAATTTTGTACGCAGATAGCTTATGGGCCAGATTGGTTAATAGGCTATTTTTTTTTAAGAGCTTCCACCTGTTAAAAAGTTTCATTTATTTAATATGCGGGAACGACTGAATGGATTTGCATGAAAATTTGCACACAGATAGCTTATGACCCAGATTGGAAAATAGGCTACTTTTCTTAAGAGTTGCCACCTGTTAAAAAAGTTTCATTAAATTAATACGCGGAAATGACTGAATGGATTTGCATGAAAATTTGCACACAGATAGCTTATGGCCCAGATTGGAAAATAGGCTACTTTTCTTAAGAGTTGCCACCTGTTAAAAAAGTTTCATTAAATTAATACGCGGAAATGACTGAATGGATTTGCATGAAACTTTGCAAGCAGATAGCTTATGACCTACAGTGGAAAATAGGCTAATTTTTTGGAAGAGCTGCCACCTGTTAAAAAAGTTTAATTAAATTAATACGCGGAAACGACTAAACGGATTTGCATGAAATTTTGCACATAGATAGCTTATGACCTAGGTTAGAAAGTAGGCTACTTTTTTAAGAGTTGTCACCTGTTAGAAATGTTTAATTTAATTAATACGCGGAAATGAGTGAACTGATTTGCATGGAAGTTTTCACACAGATAGCTTATGAGCTAGGTTGAAAAATAGGCCACTGTTTTAAGAGTTACCACCTGCCAAAAAAGGTTAATTCAATTAATACGTGGAAAAGACTGAACGGTTTTGCATCAAATTTTGCAAGCAGATAGCTTATGACCTACAGTGGAAAATAGGCAAATTTTTTGGAAGAGTTGCCACCTGTTAAAAAAAGTTTTAATTAAATTAATACGCGGAAACGACTGAACAGATTTGCATGACATTTCGCACAGAGATAGCTTATGACCTATGTTGGAAAATAGGCTACCATTTTAAGAGTTATCACGTATTAGGAAACTTTAATTAAATTAATACGTGGAAATGACTGAAATAATTTGCATGAAAGTATGCACACAGATAGCTTATGACCTAGACTGGAAAATAGGCTACTTTTTTAAGAATTGCCTCCTGTTTGAAAATTAAATTTTGCTCAAAGATATTTTATGACCTGGATTGAAAAATAGGCTACTTCCTTAACCGGTTTTCCGATCAGAACGGAATTTAGTACACTTACTACGGATTTCGGAAGGATGGTCTTAGACTGAAAGTAAGTCCGATAACTCAAGGCCCCTCCCATACAAATTGGAATTTTCATATTACATACATATCTCTGTATGTAACTGAAACTTGGTATAGTGATATGTATGTGAAATCAATGTTGGCATTAATCGATTGATGTTTTAATTAGTTAGTTAAATCGATTAAATTCAATCTGATTACAGTTAATCATGATTAATTTTAATCCGACTAAACAGTTAACCGTAACCTCGATTAAAAAATTAATTTTTAATCATTAACTCTTAGTTTGATCAAGTAGGTTTGGTGATTAAGTTATGCTGGAATTTTCCTGTGCACACAAAGCAATTAATCCAGTATGGCTAAGTCAGGTTTCCTCATCAATCTAAGCAATTTGGTGTGCATTTTCATTAAGATATATGTATACCAACAAACGTTTTACAAACTAGGTTTGTAAAAGTTCCCAGTTTATGTATTACTAATAACAATAATTATTATTTTTTTATATTACATGCTTTTTATAAGCGTAAAACAAAAAATAATTACTATAACTGGTGTTTGGTTTCAAACTCGGACAAACTAGACAAATTAATCAGATTTTATTTTTAATTGGATTAACGATTAATGTTTTAAATTAATTAAACGTAATCGCAGCCAGCGATTAACGATTAAAAAAATGTTATCATTAATCGTACAGTTGATTACGACTAATTAATTTTAATCGTCAAAGGCGATTAACATTTTAATCGTTAATTTTTAATCGTTAATCAGATTAACAGTTTGCCAACACTGTGTGAAATCATGTTCATATTCACGGAGAAAAATGGACGTTTTTGGAAAAGAGGCGTAGCACCTCCCATACTGACTGAAAGTTTCATATTGCATATCTCTTCAAATGTTTGGGGTAAAGCACTCTAGCTTGGTATGGAAATACATATGTATGCATGTATGTATGTGAAACTAATACCATACTCATGGAGAAAAATGAGAGTTATTGGAAAAGGTGGTGTGGCAACTCCCAAGCAAATTGATTTTTCTATGCTGCATATCTCTGCAGGTGTTTATTGCAGAGGACTGGAACTTGGCACCGAAATGTGTATACAAAATTAATTCCATACTCATAGAGAAGAATTTGTGTTATTCGAAAAGGGGACATGGTACCTCCCGTACAAATTTATTGTTTTATACTGCATATCTCCAGAGATGTTCATGGTAAAGTACTGGGACTTGGTACTAGGGTATGTAAAATCAATTCTAAATTCATGGAAGAAGATTGGGTTATAAGCAAAATGGGCGTGGCACTTCCTGTACAAATTGACTTTTTCTTGCCACATATCCCTGGAAGTGTTTGTGGAAGACAGAATCAATTGCATTAAATGGAAAAGGGAGAGCCGGGTTCGACAATATAATCTAAAGCTCTCTTGAGGAATTTGCTACAGTAATGAGAAGTGGTATTTTATCAAGGCCAGGTTACCAAATTTGAGTTGGAAATATTAGAACTCGCCGTGGCACCTCCAAGAAGGTTTCACGTTCACGCGTCGTATACCTGGAAACCTTTTAAGGTAAACTTAGAGGGAGGAGAGAGGAGATTTTATAATTTCATAGTTTTAAACGGCCTAAATACCTTAACTCTAACATCATTAAATTATTTTTCCTATTTGTATAAAAGTGAAACCCGCGGGTATAAGCTAGTATCTCCATATTTTTATATTTACGCGTACATATTTACATTTATTTATGTACAAGTCTACTAAATCTTATTACTTATAAAGCGATTTTTAATCTTCGTTGCTTAGCACACATTTTTTCAATAACTTCTTGTGCTGTAATCGGCACATCATTATGTACCGCTAACATCGTTAAACCATTTAGCCGCTCCTTAATTGTATAAAAAGAAGGGACAAATAAGATAGCATATTCAACAATTGAGTAGTCCACTTGCAAAGTGCGCTATTAAATTTTTTCGATTTTTAGTTTTTGGTGGGTTTCATCAGAGAATGTTAATTTAATGAGAAGGCGCAAATGTTAAGTAACATTTTTTCAAGTACTAATTAGAAGATCTGAGATGCGAGAGTTCACCACTGAGATCAAGGAGTTCGCCACACCAATTTTAACTACCATATTCTATGGTGAAGTGAGAGGTTTGTGGCAAATTTACATAAATTAGCTGCCGTTGGTGATATATATTTGCAAATTTACGCCGTCAGCTTATGAGTACTGTGGCGTTTGCTGCAAAAATGCAGCTTGGTTTTTTGCAATTTTTTGCGCTGATTCAAAAACCAGTGGATAGGGTGATATTTTTTTATTAATAAAATCTTATTTTCATTATTGTTTATTAAAACATATATCGCTAGCTTAGAGTGAAAAGTTGCTAAGTCCTATTTTAGAAATGTTACAGGAGAGGAAACAAATAAATTCTTATAGCCAATTTCTTCAAGCATTTCGCAAAACTTTGAATACAACATTTTGGCTGTTTAAAGGAAAGCAAAACATCATATAGGGATTCGAACTGTATTCAAAGATTTCATGCTATGTATTTTGGGATTATCGGATTTTCGGTGCTTCTTTTGGACTTTTGGAAAATTTTCCTTTCATTGAATTTAAACGAGAATAAATAATACGAAATACCTCCATCCTTTTCGATACAATACATTTTTAATTTCTCTAGCCTCCTGTATCAAAATATGAGTTTTCATAAAAAGTGGACTTGGAAACTTTTCAATCTAAGCTAGCGAAATGGACATAAGTACGTATATAAGTATTTTTGCATAAGCAAATCCATCACAGTGATGCCAGACATTCTCTGTTAAAAATCCCACGAAAATGGGGAAAAAATCCCTCAATTACCCACATCTTGAAAATTTATCCCACAAAATTCCCAACGAATTTAAACATATACATGTTTCAGTAGTAAAGAAGTAAAATTCATATAAAATAATAATAATAGTTTGGCGCTTACACATATGTGCTTTTCCTCCAATTTGTGGCGGTCCCCTTGATGTGGTCACACAAAGGGGAGGGACCTACAGTTTTACGCCGACTCCGAATGGCGAGTGTATTTTTATGAGAAGCTGTTTTTCATGGCAGGAATACACTCGGAGGTTTGCCATTGCCTGCCGAGGGCCGACCGCTGTTAAGAAAAAACCCCTTTTCCTGCATTTTTTTCACTCATTCAATTTTTCACTTTCATTTTTTTGCTCACTCACGCTTTAACGTAAGAAAATTTTCGAAATTATCCTTATATTTTTTAACAATTATATACCATTTCACTCCACATCACATCTTCAGAACGATGAATTAAGTCGAATGTCGAATATTCGTGAATTTTGATCAATTATGCAACAATAACTGCGTCAAAAGAAAATCCCTTATTTATATGAAATGTCCCTTTTTCCCTTTTAATAATTTTTGATGCAAAATATCCCTCAAATAGGGAAATCTCCCTCAATCTGGTACCACTGATCCATCATTCATTTATAGCTACATATGAGTAGCAAAGTGCGCTATGTAAATTTTTTCGATTTTTATCTTTTGGTAGGTAACGTACCAGTATTTAAAGTAGTTTCATGTCCACTAAAAACCCAGTGCAAAATCTTTTTTTATTCTGAAAAAATAGCATCAAATATTAACTACTCTTACAAAAGTCGTTATCATATTTATTTATACACTGAAAACTGATTTGGGTTGCATGGATTGTTAATGTTATGTTATTTTACGTTGTGCTATGTTATAATGTTATTAAGCTGTTATTTATCTGAATTTTCAGGTAATAAAAACAAGATTCAATTCAGATGTTATTTGTTGTCATAGTCGTTCTTTTTTTTAATTTATAGCTTACTATCATAAGATCACATAACGCTGTTGGCAAGTGGACTATTCATATATAATTAGAATTTTTTTTTGCAACAAAGTAAAAGGTAAGTAATTTGCGATTCATAATTCAAGTGTTTGGTAAAAAAAAATATATATCATCTGCTTTTTGTAAAATAGTCCTAAATATTAAATTAGGCGAGAGCTTAATCTATCTATGGGCCACACTAAAAGCTCCCTTCCATATAAAAACAAACGTTGTCCCACCCGTGACAGAGGAGTTTCGGATTTTTTTTTTATAATAAAGCAATAATTTTTGTTGTAGTTTTTACTTTGTTTGTATTTGAGGTTCTTTGTTTTATTATAAGACACCAAGTTCACACAGAAAAGTGAAAGAAATTCGCAGAGTTTCCGTAAAATATATCTGCTCCAAAAAGCAGGTTCTTTTTTTCTTGCCCGACCCGTAACAGAAGAAATGACACAGATTTTTTTCATATACAAGTAAGCTGGAATTTTCTTCGTATTTTGTAATAACTCATAAAATAGTCGATTAGGTGTAGCTTTATCAAAATGTAGAATTGTTGAGTACTATTACTTAAATTTAAACCAGAAAGGAGAATTTTTCTGTATAAATGTCGCACCCGTGACGGTGGAATCGCCCATATCATATATGTAATAGGGATGTGCAGTAAATCAATTGAAAGAAAAAGCTGATTAATAGAAACATAATTATGTAATTTATCAAAGAATAATAATTTTTGATTAATCAAAGTTAATAATTTATCGATTATTTATATGTTATTAAATCAGAATCGAATTAATTTTATTAATCAGAAAACTGATTAATTATAAAGCTGAATAATTGCTGATATATATTGTTTTATTTAAAAATAGGATAAAAAAATTATAAGTGGCAGATATCTCCACAAGCAAATATGAACAAATAAAATTCAAAATTAAAATACATATGATTGAAAAATAAAAGTGTATATGTACATACATACGCCCATGCATAAGTACCTATGTCTGCACATATTAACAACGCGCATGCGTGCATATGTATGCAAATGCGCATAATCATAAATAATTAATCACTTCTAATCACTTAACAAAAATCTACAAATATCAAAACGAAATACTTCTGCACATACATACAAATACTACAACTAGAAACATACAGACGCCACGTTTACTTTTCCCCGAACTCCCGCCTCTAACGAGCATGAAATTCATTCATAAAAGCAAAAACTTCCATTCAAAACTCGCGCGCACCTCGCACACTTGCCCCGCTACAAACATGAGCCGTCCACAAGTTGATTTTCGTCGCGGCGTTCACAAAATCTAAAAATCTCAAATTTTGTCAACCACCGCGCCGATCGGAAAAGTCGCAACAGTGTACAAAATCCCCCTTCCCTTCGCGCACTTCAGTTATCATAACAAAATATTTTTTCTGCGCGTTACAGAAAACGGGCAACAATGCCGACAAGTGCGCAGAATCCCTTCACATTCGTTTCCCCCGCCTTGCCCAGAATTCTTCCTCTTCTTCAACTATTTCACAATGCGCAGAAAAGCCAAAAAATCAATTTTGATCACAAATTAATATTTTATTTCATTTTATAAGTATATAAAAAACCAGCGCATCTAGTCGGACTCGAACTCATACCGTATCGGTAAAGCATCACCATCGCTTCGCCTCTACCAACTATGCTACAGCACATCTTGAATGATGGGCATCTTACAAGCTACATGTACCCTTCAAAATGCAACTATGAATTCAAATATTTTTTCTTTTTTGTTGACATATCTACATCTACGTACCAAAGGATATATGTGCGTACTTGTAATTTTTGCTTATACGAACACACGAAATTGACAAAAAAAAACCTACCAAAACCTATCAAAATTTTATCAAAAATCAGGTTTTCTTTTATAATTTTTTTTATTAATATGCCTTTATTTAATCATAAGTATGTTATGAACCATAATCAAAAGAATTAAACTCATTATAATGATATGAAAAAAGTGCAAATAAACCATTTTAAAAATTTTAAATTACATAAGAAGAACAGAAAAAAATATATAAAAAACTTAAATTATGGGATTTAAAAAATCCCGAAATAAAAAAAGAGTTTATTTATTTAAAAAGTTTATTCAATATAATTTTACTAAATGTTATTTCATTTTATTACTATTTTTTAATTTAATTTAATTTAATTTTATTAGTTTATTTGTTTTATTTTATTTTACTAGTTTATTTAATTTAATTTGATAATTTTATTTTATTAGTTTAATTTAATATCATTATTTTATTTTATTAGTTTATCTAATTTAATTTGATTATTTCATATTGTTAGTTAATTTTATTTTTTATTTTTTTTTTATTTAATTATTCTATTTTATGTTATTCGTTTATTTTACCTTATTATATTTTATTTAATTTGATTTTTTTATATCATAAAAATGTGCAGTTCATAGTTATAAACAGGGACGGAAAATAATCATAATTTCTTAAATTTTAACCAAAAAATCAACAAGTTATAATCGACATATTTTCTACTGGAATTTGTAATGTTTTATTTTTCGAGTTCAACCAATAAAGATTTCATAGATTTCCCTCGAAATAAAAATTTTTAATAAACGATTTTTATTTTTTTGATAAAAAATAGTGGTTATTTTATGATTTTTATTTTTTCACTTAAGAGTAATGATTATTCAAAAAACTCAAAATATCATTTTCTGAGGTAGCGACACTTTAATAAAAGGAATAAGTCCCGAAATTTTTAATAATAATTACCTATAACTAATTATTATTTTTAAGCAAAAAAAAATAAAGTAATGATTAAATGAATGAATAAAAGGCTTGATGCCAGGAGTTTCCAGTCAGAAACTCTGATCTTTGCCACAAATGTACAATCATATATTTTTTTAATTAATTTAATTTTTTTTTAATATTTACATGAAGTGTTAATTGAAAAGTGTGTGACTTTTCAATTAACACTTCAAAATTCACTTTTCATAAAACGACAACCGCGCGCTTACAAGATTTTTTCGTTTTGACAACTTTGGACGTTAGTTGACTTCCCCATTTTTTTACAATTTTTGCGCATTTCTACTTTTAACAAAATCTAGAAATAGCCCAATTACATTTTTGGTATTTTTTTACCATTTCTCCGCTTTTCTTATAAAAATCTAAAAATAGCCAATTTTCATTTTAGCCTAACGGTATATCGCAAGAGCAAAGCAAAAAGGTGAAAAATTTCATCTCTTTCTGTGGTAAAAAATTTAGTTTGGTGAACTCTCGCATCAAATATTTATTTTGGTGAACTCCCGGTTCTCTAACCTTTCAGAATTTAGTAGTACTAAAAAAATTTAACATTAATATTTTCTCCTTCTCATTACATTAACATTCTCTGGTTTCATATCCACTAACAGCAGAATGAAAAATGTTTCTATATTCTGAAATGTTAACTACTCTTGCAAAAGTCGCTATAATATTTATTTATACACTTTCAAAAGTCTCCTCTTCGTATGAACTTAAAAAACTTCAAGAAAACGTGGTAGTTTCGGTGCCTAATGGAAGAGGTCGCAAAAAAGAAGCAAACCAATCTTCCTGAAGGAGAGAACGCGAAAAGCTAAAAAAGCTAGCTATGTAAAAGATACTGGAATTTTTTTTTTAATGTTACTAGGCTCTTGTTTATCAAAATTTTCAGGTAATAAAAAAGTTCGGATGGTACTTGTTGTCGGAGACGTTTTTTTTAATTTATGGCCTACTTTTATAAAATCACATAACGCTGTTTGCAAGTGGACTTCTCAATTGTAAAGCACAATGTACATATCAATATTTTAATTACCTGTCCAGTAGAGATACGTAGATAAGTTTTTAACCTCTTTAGAGTTGAAAAGGTGCGTTATGCTGTTGAAGTGGAAACGGGGAGAGTGGCACAAATTTTTAGCAACTTGTATAAGTTATTGAATGACGTTTTATCGCAGTTCTGTAGTGCATCAAGTGCAGTTTTTGGCGAAAGATTCTGCCGCTTTAAGAACGTTCTCCATAAATTAGTTTCGGCTACTATATTTGAGCTTTCAATAAGTGGTTCATAAAACTCAGCAAGCTTAAATATATTTGTGTCATTTTCTTCACTCTGGTCTGTTGAAAAAATCGAAGCGAAACGAATCGAGTATCTATTTCCATTATTATATGATCAATAAATGGATAAAAAACAGAAATCTTGAAATAATCAGCTAAGTTACATGCTTGCAGATTTTGACTAGATTTGTATCGGTTCTTTTTGATTTCAATATCCATGTCGTTTGCATATTTTTCACAAGTTCTGAACAATTTTTCAAAGTAATGTTCGCGGGAACGAATACGTCGTAGCTGCGCCACTAAGTCATTTGCCAAATCCACTACAAGCGCTACATCTATCTGTATTTGTCGGAGTTTATTACACAAAGGCAGAATGTAGGAGAACATATCGCCTATTATATTAATGGTTATAATGAATTCGAAGTCCAAGCTTCGTTGGAATATAATTGCATCAGTTGATGATCCGTCATTCCATTCGCCTAAGTCACCCAACGCAGCATGTACAAAAGGCATTAGAGAAATGAAGTCTGATACCGCATTATATTTTGATGTCCACCTAGTAACGCTTAATATCTTAAGACTTTTAACGCTTGGTGCTATATCTGCTGCTTCCAAGCAGCTTAAAATAACTGATTTCCTCTTCGGTGTATTAAAAAATGTGTACAACTTTTCCACGATGGCTAAAGTATGTCTTATTGGCGGTATTACACTAGCTTTGGATATGGCCAAATTAAGTACGTGTGCTGAGCAATGCACATAGCAAGCAAAAGGATACTCCTCTTGAACGTATTTTTGGACGCCGTTAAACTGGCCTGACATATTCTTTGCCCCATCATAATCTTGACCAAAAAGATATTGACAATCGATATTACATTCTTTTAGTGTATTTAGAATTATCAAAGCTAAATCTTTTCCACGAAGCGATTTCGCCACAACAAAACGAAGGAAGTCTTCTCTCAAACTTATTTCCCCTCCATGAGTCTCATCAACATACCGGAGACAGATCGAGACCTAAAGTATTCAAATAACATTATTTATATTAAACACATTCCTAGTTGTCTACACTATCCTTTTAACCGTCTCATGATCATGATATAATAGTCAAAAAGGACATTATCAGAGTTATCTAATTCAGCTTTAATATACACTCACTCATTTATATCTGCGTACACCTTTGCGCAGATATAAGTGAGTGAGCTTATGTAAAAACATATAATATGAATTACCTGCTCAACTGTTGATATACCTGTAGTTTCATCTGCTAAAATTGAGAAGCACTGAGCTTTGTTGACTCGACTAACAACCTTTTTTAAAATAATTTCATCGCAACATAGAATAATTTCATTTTGGATGCTGCTAGAAATATATTTATCATTTCCTGTGGGATTATCTAAAACTTTCCTCGGCGCTTCATCGCCTAAGGCTCTGAAAGCTAAAATTGCTACTACCCTACTTTTAAGGTTATTTTATTATTATTTTTGAGCAAGAAATTATAATTCAACACCAAAGTCACCTTTATTGCATGAAACGAAATCGGAGGCCACGTTAATGTCGCCAATGTCACGGTGACCTCTTAAAGACATCTCTGCCCGCCCTAAGTAAATTATAGCCTCAATCATAGGAGTTATTCTGCGTCGATTCTCTAAGATCTGCTCTCTTCTCTTAACATCTATTTTATTAACAAGAGAATTCACTGTATTTCTCATTTGCATTTTAAACGAATTGGCATCGACTACAGCATTTACGTGATATATCTTTTTCTCGTGTTCTCTTAACGACTAATAGTACCAGAAATTTAGTGCTTTTCATTTATGGTAAACAAGTTACTTACCTCATGCGCTTTTTTCCAATTATCAAACTTTGATACAACGAAATTTCCGAAATTGATGCCAAGATCTCCTTCAGACCTTGCAAATGCCACACAGAATTTGCAATAAGCTCCTTTATCCACTCCTGAATAAGCAAGCCAATTATATTGAAACTTTAATCCACGTTTGACATGTTTTTCCAAAACGGGAAACACGATGCGCTGGTCGGGCGACCACAATTTGTCTAAAATATCTATTTTATCTTGAGTCGACAGATGAGGCCGTTTTACCACAAACACACTGATATTATTGCCGCTTTCTTTCCTGCTTGTCGATGCTTCACAACTCCCACAAACTGTACGCTCCACTTCATTACAAATCTCCGATATTTCACTTTCCATTATTAAACTTTTTTTCGTATTCACGTTTAAAATAACTTCTAATATCCATTTTAACAATTATTTTAAACTTCTTACGCACTTAACTTTTTTCGAGAGCAACAATGCTCATACGCACTTACCGAAACTTTGCAATTAAAATTTGACAAGTTTTAACAGCTGATACAGACATAGACTACATCAGGGATGGAATTCCAAAATTTCAAAATGTGCGTAATGGACTGCAAAAATAGGCATTTTAAGAACCGCATATGTATTTTTATAAATATTATTTTTAATGTACTTCATTGAATTATTAGAGTAAAATCATAGTAAAATAACACAATATACAAGCTGTACTTGTCTTTAAAAAAAGGACATAAAATAACTTAAAAAAAAAAACACAATATTCCAATTACGAAGGGAAAAAACACTGAAATATAGCTATTCGGACCTACATACATACTTATGTACGAAATAATAGTGCGATTCATAAAACGGCAAAGTGGCGTTAGAGATAAAGAAAATTTTTTACAATTATATTTCGATGCAGGCTTAACTGATATACTTTTTTTTTTGAAGCATTCGAAGGCAATAAAAAACATGTGTCTCGCGACTTTGACTTTCCAATGATTGTCAGCTCAAATAATATGGCAATGTAGCAATTTTGTCGCAAGAAAGTTTCCATACAAAAATAATCAGCTGTGTCGCAAGGTGGCAAATTTTGCAACAAATGCGACATTTGCAACAACTTTGCGACGTTTCATGAATCCCACTAATAGTAGTGTGACATTTTGACTTATTCTTCTTTACATCGAATAATTTTTATTAATTTTATATAATGGGCCTTATTTTAATTTATAAGTGAATTTAATTTTAACTTTTCGAATCTATGAGTAATATATGATTGTTTGTTATATACTGGCTAAATTTCTATAATTTATGATTGTGCCAAAACTGAATGAATTGTGCCAAAAAGGCCCTTGTGAATGAAAATGCCAAAAATGGCACTATTGTGACTACTTTTCCAGCACTGGATTATATGATACGAGACTCAGCATCCAGCCAATCAGAGCATCCCGTGATTTTGTGCTCTAATTTGGCAGCACTAACACACCATGGGGAGCTAAGCAAAATGGTGAGATTCCAGTCGCTACGCGAAAAAAGGCACCGTTTTCGATCAAGGGATTTTTAGTTTTGTGTTTACAAAAAATGCTACAAGACCGCGTTTATTATGTAAAAAAAAAAGTTTTTAATCGTGACCTAAGAATTTTATAACGCTAAAACATAGAGAAAATATATATCCAATTTTATAAATTTTGCGCCTTTTGCGTAACCAAAACTGACACCATAAATTCATCAATAAATGCCGTACTTAGCACTATTTTTTGCCAAATTCACACTGGCAGTTTATTATACTAAAATTTAATAGGCCATAAAGTGTGAAATTTTGTTGAATTTTCATAGTTTTTGTACAAAGTTTGAAATTTGAACATGCTTGTTTTTATTAGGTAATCGGCATACTTTTATAAAAAACGTGTTAAAATGTCTCGTAGCTATCTATTTTTTCACCTCTGTGTGCTCTGATTAAATTAATGAGCTTGCTCCTAGTATTTTCAGACCGTGTGAATTCGGATTTTTATGGACGGGAGAGAGAAGGGAGTAGAGTTTTAGCGCATCAATCTCAAACTGGGAAAATTACGGTATTATTTCGGTCTGATATTCTATTGCTACCAGAACCAATGTGTACACATACCTCGAAACCAGTTTTATCACCTGGAAAGCCTAGTGTGTTTCGCAAAAGGTCTGAAAAGACTAATATAGGCTCAATATTCAAATTCATAATCCATCAACCGATAATTTTATATGTGCATTAAAAGATAATTTGTGATCCGCCTGAAATAAAAAAAAATTAAATCAGGATACAATAGTATCGTGTTATTAATTCAAAAGTAAAAAATGTTAGTTCAATGGCGAAGGGGGCGGATCTATCCCCCCAATCCCCCCCCCCCCCCCCCCCCTGGCTACGCCACTGATTACGGTTATCCTTCTTGAAATTTTCAGGCGATGTTATTTATATGGTATATTTTTCGTTATTTTGTCCCATTTATAAGTCTAAATAATTTGTTAGCTGGGAAACCGAATAATGATATCACAAAAATGGATTATGTGTTGGTCAATTGTTCAACTTGATTAAAATTTTGTCAATTCAAATCTGAATATTTTTATTCTCACGCCAATAACTTTTATATTTATATATGGTTTTTTTCATTTATGTCTTATAGTTTTTGTAAATATGTTGGTTTAAGGAAACCCACCATACATTGAGGTAGGTTGTCGATTAGAGAATGATTGGAAAACTAGCAACATTCTTCAATCTCACACGTTAGAGAACGACTCGAAAATCTATCGATAATCATTGCGATCTCAACAAAAATGGGGCACAGTTCTCGACTCGAGAAAATATTAAGCCCCTAATCGAATTCTAATGTTGAGCTCTAATGGGATTCGAATGTGAATTTCAAACTGCTGTTTTGGCTTTATCAAATAAAACGCTTTGTTTGTAAAATTTGTATTAAATGTATTAGCAATAAAATAATAATTCAAAATAGTTATGAATCGTTCATTTGGAATATTGCTTATTTACATGTATTTGAATTTGCGTTGTTTCGAGAACGATTAGAGAATTACCCTAGTTATCTAATGTAGAAATCCAAATTTCTCTAACGTTAGAGACTGTGTTTGCTGTAAAATAAGTAAAACAATTCCTAGCAGTTTTCCTATATAATTTTTAAAATCTAAATCGAAAATCTTTCCATTTTTCGAAACGTGTAATGTATGTAAATGCAGAATTAAATACACAAGGGAACAAAAATGGAAAAAAAACTTTGTTTTGGAAAATGTGAAAGCTGATTTTGATTGACTTTTCTGTGCTGATTACGAATCCGTGAGTATAAAGTTTCCATCAGCTCAAGATTTTGAGAAAAACGAGGTCAACATTCCAAAAAATCGCGTTTTTTGCAATATTTTAGAAGCTCTATCAAAGAAATTAAAGCTAGAAGTCTCGACTACGATCCGTGAAAATACTATCCCTTGGTGGTCACTTATAGTCATTTATGGAACAGCAAAGCCTGATTTTGTGCGAAGTTTGAGTATCCCCCGCAATTAAAAAAAAAGGTGATAGAGCCTTCCACTTAGGCTCAAATTAAGGCTTGAACTTTCGACTACAATCTCTGAACTTTAACCCTAAGGTGTTATAGTTATTTATTTAACAGCAAAAACTGATTTTGGCAAAATGTATTTTTTCTCAATAGCACAGTATTCCAGTATTTTTATATTGTTCAATAAATTACTATTAGTGACCATCAGGTCAAGGTTCAGGAATGGTATTTTCAGGGATTGTAGCAGAGAGTTGTAGCTTTATTTTATGTGGAAGGTTCTATCACCTTTTGTTTTTTTGCAAGACCTTCTAAAATATTGCAAAAACCGCGATTTTTTGACACTTTGACCTCGTTTTTCTCAAAACCGGATTCGTAATCAGCACAAAAATTCTATCAAAAACAGCTTTAACATTTGCCGAAACAAAATCACTGTTTTCCATAAGTTATGAATCAAAGAAAATATAATACCTTTCATTTGATGTATCAATTGTTTATTATAATTATGACTGCTGTTACCCACACCAGTTATAACAGTTCGCAGCTATGATATACATGAATGCATTATCTTTAAATTTTCTCCCACACAGAGACCTTTCGAGCACATCATTGGAAAGATTACCTCCGGTGGGATTGCAGGACATTGAGGAATTGCGTATTGAGAGCGTACACACACTTAAAACAATTCCATCCATTTACAATTTTAAGGTGAATAAGTGGCTTTGCTACTATTTTTCGAGATAACTTTAATTGACTTCCATTCACATGTCTACATATAGAATTTACAGAGAGCTTTCCTGACACACTCCTTTCACTGTTGCGCTTTCGAATTTCCATCGCGCCACGATCCACTTCGTCATGCCGAGCGATTGAAAGAAATCGATAAGTGGCAGCAGCGTTGTTCAAAGAATGTAAATGAAAATGGCAGTTCTAATTGGTTGGGAATGAACACTGAAAGCGGAATCAATGATAGTTTACACAAGATACTTAGAGCAAAAGAGACTGAAAATAACGATGATGGTCAAACTTGGAGTGCTAATGGAGGCGGGATGCGTCCAACACAAGGCAGTGGAGTTTTTTACAGGTAAATTAATCGATGAATAAATCATATCAGTCATTTAATTTTCTCCCGCCCCGTTAAGGCCAGTGTTTCTAGAAAAGTTTTTGATAATCTATAAGTTAACCTGTTTGCTCTCGAAACTCTGGATTCTTTGCTTAGCATTTTTCATAAGTGGTTTCCTTTCTTAAGATGTTACCCTCCAGTTTCTAATATCTAAGCTATAGGCGATATGGAGAATGCATTATTTTGATGAAAACAATAAGCTTATCGTATTCTATAGATCTTGTCCATGAATAATGACTTGACAAAACATATTTAAAATTTTACCTAGAACATATTCTTTTGTTGATAACTTTTCTGTAACAACGGAACTCTCTTTAGAGAATTTAATTCCCTACAAGAAAATTCCCAGAAAAAAGTATTATCTCAAAAGGTTCAATAGTTATACAAGTTTTGATGATAGCACATTTTTTTACATGTAAAAATTTTTCCAAATGGAAGAATTTTCTTCTCAGTTAATAGGTCTTTTTAAGGCCATAACTTTAGGTTAGATATTTTGAATCACACATATACCCAATGGGAAAATGTAATGTATAGTAATTGAAAAAATTATCAGTAAAACAACCCTTTTCACATTCGAAAATGCATTTTTTCCCCAGGGCGATGTCCTAAGAACAGTGGGGCATTCAATTTTGCATTACCTAGTATACAGAAATGAATGTGATTTAATATGCACTTTTGGGACTTTTTGATTACATATTAAACAGCAATTGGATGTACATAAGACTCATAAGAAATACATTCGATTATTTATCACGCATGGAATTCATTACTACTTTTGCCACTGGGTACTTACATATCGTCGTTTAAAGTATAAAACCGCGTATCGTCATTCTGCAAAACCGTGTAACTGACATTGGCTGCCAAAAATTGGATTTTCTCACACAAGCCCTTGGCTCAATCCTTATCCATTCGTCCTGAAATATACTGGCCAGAAATGGGATTGCTTTATAAAAAAGAGAACCATTTTGAAATATCAGTGTTTTTACGCTCTAGAAAATAATTTCTACAATTCACATACGTGGTTTTGCATTTTGCTGATACGCGGTTTTGCACTTTAAACGACGATATGTACATGCTTGGCGCGCAATATCTCGTATCTGCCAAATGCAATGCCATGAACGAGGTGGCTGAGAACAAAAAAACAAAAATATTTTCGGAAATTTAATGGTCAATAATTTTAGTAGAGCTTATATTTATTAAGTTCAGTTAGAAAACCATTCAAAAGTTTAGAAGAAAATAAGTTTATTTGCACTTGTTTGAAATTTTCGGACTATCGTATACGTGGTATTGCATTTGGCGACGATTTGTATGCCTTTTTCAGTACCCCTTATGAAAATTCCATAAATTCCGTATACAGTGAATAGGGATGCCAATCCCAGGATCCAGGTGTTTTTGAGGCCCATAAAAGCCCGGGATTTGCTTGCATTAAATAAAACGAGTTTCTAAAGATCTTCTTGGTTTGCCCAATAACATCGCAGTCAAGTCAACAAAGAAAATTTCTGATAAAAATTGTAAAATGGTCGTCTTAGCTGAATTCGATTCAGTCGTCACAATCGAAGCGGTTTTCAAAAATATTAAAAAACTGGCTGGTTTAGCCATTTATATAGAAGACAGACAAAAAGCAATTAGTAGCCGACATAAAGTAAACAATTGTTTTAAGTCATTTGCAATAGATATATCCCCCTTATGGATTTTCAATTATATAGTCTTAAGTTACTAAAAATTGATAATTGGCTCTGTCTATGTTACACCGACCTATGACATTGAGACAGCGCTGGACCTTTTAGAATTGTTTTAGATGAAATTTCCCATAGTTACGGTAATGTCCTCATCATAATTGGTGGTGATTTTAACGCTCGAGTTGGTAGCGAAAGTAGCTGCGATCTCCTTCTAGGGCCAAACTCAATTTTAGAGACCATACGAATATCTTCTGACAAAATAATTAATATTCGGGGCAAAAATGTATATAAATTTATGTCAAGAAATGGGCTTGTTCTATTAAATGGGCGCATACCGGGCGACATACCAGGAAACTTTACCTTTTCCAACAGCAATGGAGAAAGTGCTATAGATTTGATATGGGCAAAAGTAGAGGCTATTCCTCACATCAAAAGGGTCGAAGTGTTATTTGACGTAGTAACCTCAGACGATTTCCCTAGTGATGCAAAAAATAAATCTGGAGGAATTAGGACTATGTTCAAACAGGCCAATTTGCTGAAGAAATTAAGCTTTAAATTGCGCAATTAGCGATACGAAATCAGCTGCTGGATTACCTACAGTGATGGAAAACTTGGTACAATCGTACCTTTATTTAGTTTGAAAGTGCATTCGGTACAAAAACACAATTTTAGGTACATTTGGAACGTAGCCAAATAACTTCTCAGGAAATCAGTTCTTATTTTTATTGACATTTCAGTGCATTTTCTGTTGCGGGCAACTGGTCCAATACCTTCCCTCCTTTGTGAAGGGGCATACAAAGGATACAAAAACGTGGTCAAAGTAACGCAACTGTAGTTGATTTCGCCAGATAGATGGAAAATATTTATTTTTAAACGACAGAACTGGGAGAAAAGTGATTCACCTTTCCTACAACTTAGTTTTGTCTCGCGCTGCACGAAGAGATTCTTTTCATAGCCAAAATTTGTTTAATGTGAGTTCAGAAGTTGATGTGGTATCGACGGGAATTGTTATCCTCCTATTTTCTTTATATAGAAATACATATTTACTTTTTAGGTACATCTATCTACTTTTATATAAATCTTTCCGTACATTAGGTACAATTTTATAATTAAATTTTCCATCCTTGATGGAATATCAGCTGTAAAATAAGGACAGAAACAAACAGCTGATTGCTCTTTGTTCAATAAACATACCTCCAATTAAAAAATTTAACATACCTAGCAGGGTTGCATAGAGAATCTGACACAAATTAATTGCCCATTAATTATTAATTAATAATTTTAATAATTTCAATTTTTGTATGATAAATTGGGTAATTAAAGCTTAAATTGGTGAAACGGTTGTTAATTGCCAATTAGGTGCCTGTTTGAACATAGTCTAAGAGAAAATACAAATAACTAATATTGAAATGGGACGCTACATAGCACCACAATTTATTACATTTCAGAGTGGGGAGGATTGTCTTTCTCAATGCGACATTATTAATGCTTCAGTTTAAACCCAATATTCAAACCTGACAGAATCAATAAAAAGGTCAGCTCAAAAAATAAATATGTTAAAAAACACATCAGGGAAATCATCAAGCCACTTCAAAAATGTCTGGCTTGATCAAGAGTTGCTTAGCAATAAACGTGAGCTGAGAAAGGCACTCAGGCTGTGCAAAAATTCATCGTTTAGTAATGAGCATAAATCGAATTACATATATAAACTTAAAAATAGAGTATAAAAAGTTGCTAAGTAGCTAAAAAAAAACTCATACGATATAACTGTCAAAAACAATGTAAAAAATACAAAAGAGTTTTAGAGTGTCATCTGAGAATGCAACAAAAAGCATCCAATTACAAACCCTATTCCGCTAGTTGAATGGGAACAATTTTATTGCGAAATTTACCCACGGCGTATACTACGAGATCTATCTTTTTTGGAACGTTTGATGAAACACTAGACGTCGAGATGTCGCTCTCAGAAATCAAATTTGCAATCAAAGCCTGCAAAATAACAAAGCTCCAGTTCGGGACATGGTTGGGGGAGAATTTTATAAATGTCTCCCTGATGAAGGCATATACTATTTGCACTCATTATTTAATATTATCCTATCGTATGGAGTCTTGATCACAATCGCTCTTAGTACTGTCTTATAAGAGCGGAGATCCAAATCCATTGAACCACAGAGTTATCGCACTGAGTACTACAATTTCAAAAATTTTTACACAGATTCTTGCGCAGCAATTAACTAATTGGGCTGACGAAAACTATGTAATCCCAGAATCTCAAAACAAATGAAGCTGCATTGACAATACTTTCGTTCTGCAGTCAGCCTTACAGATTCATATGAGGCAAAATAAATCTTCTTTTTTGCCTTATTTATCGATTTTCGCCGAGCGTTCGACGCAATTAATTATGATCTACTGTGGCAGAAACTATATGCAAAAGGCGTGAGTGTCAGCTTTACACACTTGGTAAAATCTCTTAACGAGCGTGCATCGTTTGTGATAAGACAAGAAGATATTACTTCACAAAGCATTGCTGTAATGGAGGGAGTTTTACAAGGGGAAATCTTTAGCCCTCTTTTGTTTTTGCTGTTTATCTCAGATTTTGAAGATGAGCTGCAAAATGAAAGTATAGAGGGAATAAATATCGACGGAAAAACTGACTTACTCCTTCTATTATTTGTGTATGATGCGGTCGCACTCGCCAACTCTCCAGTAAGACTACGTAAAATACAAAAGGCTTTAGATAATTACTGCACAAAGAATTTTTTAAAAGTGAACACTAATAAGACCAAAATTGTACACTTTAGGAAGGGTGGACATCAAAAAATCGACATTGTCAAAACATACAAATATTTTGGTGTTACCTTTTTATGCTCCACGCTGGGGAAAGCGGCTTCCGACGCTGCGATAAAAAGTGGAAACAGCTTTGCAAACACTGCATCGATGTAAGGCTGACCCTTGGGATGGGAGGGTCAAACTCTTTAATAGCGTTGTTTCCGCAACCTGGGGATTGAGATACACGTATCAACTGGAGATTGTTCAGTCGCCATTTTACAAGAAAATTCTTGCTTAACCAAAGAGTATGCCTAATGCACAACTTAGATTAGAGACAGGTACTCTGAAACTCGATTATAAATTATTCAAAATGGGTTGGAAATATATAATCTCTCTACTTCCTTAGACTGGTCTATTATCATTTAAACACAAATGCGCAACCTGAATACAACTAGGTAATACAATTCAACCATTTCCTAAACAAAATTGGTTTATCTCATATATGGGAGACGC